AACTGAAATCAGCCGAACTACTTTATGCTTAAATGTATGTATGTTCCTTATCGGATGACCCAGATTGAGGTTTATATTGGATGTAGAGTGGAACTGGAACATCAAAAGAAAATTTTGTGTTTTGTTGGTAAGTTACTATAGCAAAATGCTCTCACTGAGCTATTATTAAGATGCAGCTGCAGTACTGACAGAGCCTCAGTAGAAAATCCTGCTTAAAAACAGAGTACAGAACTGATGGCATTCATTGGTAGTACATGACATGACATGACATGACATGACATGACATGACATGATCCTTGTTTGTTCTTAATCTTCCTCTTTTTTTATAAAAGAGAAGCTGCAAATACACCACGCTGCTTGAACTGTTGCATGCAAAATCAAGAAGGGTCATTGATATTTTACTCCAATATTTTAGAATGCTGATTCATCCTTCTATGTTTCCACACTGTGGGCCCCATCGAAGTTAATAGTTAAACTCCCGTCAGCTCTAGTGAAGTTAAGATTTCATGATGTTTACATGTGATTTCACTATGTTTACATGTGATTCTGAGTCACAGATCAGAATTCTTCACTCTTCAATTGTGGCATTTTATTCCTAATCAGCATTTTGTTTGTGCTGTTAAATTTATACTGTCTTCCTAACATCATTTACGTGTAACATCTTGGTTTATTATGCAAATCTAAAGTTTCTAAGGTTTGGTTCACGAAATTTAAAAAAAAAATACTGCAGAGATAAAGGAATTTGCAACAAATAAAGCTCACATGAGCGGAAGTTATATAAACAGGGAGAATGAACGTTTTCAGCCAGTTCCTTTTTCGTTACAGTAACACAAAAATGTGGCTATTTACCTCCCCCCTCTGGACAGACTTGGTCGTAGCATGGAAGCAGTATTTTATTAACTCAAAAAGCATTGCTATTTTTTAAACGTTTTTTCTTTAAAATCGTTGATAGCTTTTACATGCATTGCATTTAAATAACATTCTTCTTATTTATGCTTTCTGTTCAAATATCGCTTCCTTAACTATGTGAATATTATTTTTACCTGGTTTAAGCTTTTTGGGCTCTAGGATTAGATTCTGGTTCCAGAAAGGCATCAGTAATTACCCAGTGTATTATCTTGCCCTGACAAGACAGATCAAAGAATTTGAATTCCCTGTAGTAATTTGGGCCACTTCTTGACCTTCAGGGTCTTCTTTTGCTTAGTTGATTTGATTTGAGCTTTAAATGTTTTCATTTACTATCTATAGTTCACAAAGACAGAAGTGATGGACCAAAGATTAGATTTCGTAACCATTTTAAGGATTAAAGTTCATGCATTGCTGTGAAGAGTATTAAGAACATTGAGCTTCAGTTCTGTACTGAAAGAAGGCCTCAAATATTTTAGTAAACTCTACTATGCTGGTACCCCAAGTTAGAAAGCTGTGAGTATATATTTCATATCCTGCTTTAATAGAATGTTTATTTCAGACAAAGAAATTAATTAGCTGTTAAATATTGCTGCACACCACATCAATTCAGCTACTCTGTTATTAATGTAGTATATATAAACATGTTGGAGAGTCATTAACCACATTTTTCTCCATTTCAATATAATAAGACTTATCACAAATATAACTGACAATGAAAGGAAATGACAGAGTCCTCAGAAATCTGTCAGAGATGTCTACAGTCCATACAGTTTTTGTGATCTATTTTGTGATCTTTCTGTCTTTTTATCCAGTACAGTTTCTTTCTGGTCCAATGGTAGGTTGCTGAACTCCTTCATATCAATGCTTTTGTATGGGTTATAGACAACAACAGTCATAAAAAATGTCAATAACAACTTCAATTCACTTAATAGCAAATAATGTATATAGTCATGGAAACTCATTTCTTCAGCTGAGTCAAAACTAGTAACTTCTAAAGCGCAAGCACTGTATAGAGATTGCTATCAGAAAGTTTAAAAATGTCTTGTAGTGGCGTAGTTTCTTTAAATTTATAGGAGAATTTAGTATTACGATGAACAAATGCAGCACTATCTTTTCTGTGTCCTTGTAGATTAAAGCTTTCTGTTATGTTTTGGTCAGAAGAAAATTGTTTAAAAAATCCCTTTCTCACTCTTTTTTTTCCTTTTTTTTTCAAAACAAAATTAAGTGGAATATGTGACTATGCCTGATAAAATGTGCATCTTTGTCATGTTCTGAGACTGGTTACCTTCTTTTTATTATTGTTTCAAAAATAATTAAACCAACTCTGTCCATGACACTGAAGACAAAGAAACCTCACTGCTCTTGGAAAAAATTACCTTTCCAGTTATCAAATATGGAACAACCTTTAATATTTATAATCTCACAACTGTAAAGGTATATATTTAGCTATATTGGTACTCAAACAACATCAGGATAGAGCTCCGGTTTAGTTTTTTAATTACTGTAGATTGGCTAAACTAAGAAAAAAGAAAAGATTTTTTTCAAACTTCCATCCCTGTAATCTGAACTTGGGATTTAAGGTTTTGGGCTCATATACTATCAGTAGCATTGTTCATTAAGTTCTGATAAGCTTATAAAAATATGCATGTTCTTAAATACCTCCAAATTCCAATTAATTAAAATTTAGGAGTCAAATAGGCTCCTAAAACTAAAATATGAAAACTAAATATTTTCTTGAATGTAGCGCTAAATGTGGAACCAAATTTTGCCTTCTTTACGACCTCTGTCATCTTTTTGCCCTCAAGTTAGGGTTGTAGTTAATAATGGTAATCTAATTTCCAATAGAACTACAAGCGGAAGAAAACATTCATACATGCATCTTAGGAATTATTGCTTTCACAGCAATCTATCGTATTTTCCTGCTGCCAGACAGGATTGAATTTGTCCAGGCCTAACCTCTCTTATACCTTCCAGTGATCATGGCTCAATAAACCCTGTGCTTAGCTCTTCCTCATAATTATCTGAATCTTCCTTCCTGCAATGTAAGGTAACTTGTTTTTTCATCAGCACATGGTATTGTGTCCATCTTTGCAATAGCCCGTGTGTAAATAGGATGATTATCAGTGCCACCTGCTTCACTCAGGATGACTGACTTTGTTGTTGACAAATTCTCTGTAGCATCCGATTTGAATCTCTCCAAGATCCAAATTAAATCTTCGTACTTCACATCTTTTCTACATCTGAAAGGGAGAAAAAATATATTATCTTCCCTGCAGCAATCTATAACATATTAAGGATGCTACTTCTTTTAGACTTCTTTCTAAACTAGCAAACTCCTTCCCTCCATTTTTTTTCAGATGTCAGACTTTTTAGATTTGTGATTTATTTCATTGCTTTAATGCAGACTTTAGTTAGTGCACATGCTTCTTGAAGTGTCTAAAATGGGACACAGAATTCCAGCTGAGGTTTTAGCGCTTCTGTACAAACCAGGATTATCTCACGTGTCTTACATATGTCATATGTGCTTGGACATCCCGGGCACAATGGTTCTCCTTTAAGCAAAAGCACAGCACTTTTGGCAAATGCTTAGCTTGAGATTCACTTTAACTCCAAAAATCATTTCTGTGGAACTGCACTGTAACCAGTAGTTCTCCATCCTGGATGTATGCAGTTGATAATACAGTGCTGGGTTTGTCTCTACTCATTGTATCCTGTTTTGGTGGTGTTGGTGTTGTTGCTGTTTTTTGAGAAGGTGTCCCCTGTTTGTCACAATCATTCTGAACTGGTAATCCTTTTCTCCAGAGCCGGTGCAGATTCTCCCAACTGCAAAAAAGGTGGCACCCATACTTTGCACTCAAGCAAAAAGAGATATTTACTGATCAGTGCTGTCTTTAAAAGAGATACCTAAAACTTGCCAAGTAAAGGAACTGCATTTCTATAACTCTAATGAAAACTGCTTGGGAACACCTATGATTTTTTTTTTTCCAAATCTTTTTTAGAAGAATTTATGTAGTTACAAGAATGCCAATCACTCATTTTGAGTGGCATAAATGCAAGGTTAAAATGACCGTGTTTGTAAAATCGTCACTGAAATATAACTTCTTATACATTTTATTTTAAAAATAGGATGTAATGAATAAGGCAAAAATACCACCTGACAAGTGGAATCTTGATTCTGTGGCAACATGACAAAAGTAGAATTTATAACAATTTATTAATGCTACATCTTGACCTAGCTATTTGGGCTACTTACTGTAGGAATATGTGAAGTTTCCTTTACTTGGGACAGCAATTAAACCTAACTTGGAAACACAAAGATCACTTGAGAGCACCCAATTATTTCACAACGTGCAAGAATGGTTCAGGCGAACCGCATGGCAGTGCGCAAGGGATGAACGGGAGAGGAGGAACTACTCAAAGACTTAATTGGGAGTAAGGCTCGGATGTAGCTTTGCTTTGGCGTCTGTTAGGGGCACGGGACAGTCCTGCTCTGAGGTGCGCCGTTTGCACACAACGGAGCCCACAGGAATAGAAGGAAGCTGGTGCGGAGACGGGCCGGGTACGCGCAGCCAGTGCTGAGAGAACCGGAGCCAAGGGGCAGCGCAGGGAGGCGTGAGGGAGCACCTCGCACCGAGGAAGCCCCTGCGGTACGGACGCTTCGCCATCTCGCCTGGGGCCGGGCTGCGCCGGGCAGGAGTGCGGGCCCTGCCCCGAGGGCGGGCGAGCAGAGCCGGTTCTCCCGGCAAGAGCCTGTGAGTCCCGCCGTGCAGCCCTCTCTGCGCTCTCGATCCTCTCCTCAGTTGACACCCGGGCTCCGGCACGCAGCTGCGACCGCAGGGGCACACCGACCATGGCGGGGCGGGGCGGGGCGGGACGGGACAAGACCGACCGACCCGCGCGGCCACCGACCCCTAGGCAGACAGCGGCTCGCCACCCGCTTCGCCCCACGGAGAAGCACCGCGCCTGCGCCGCTCGGCGGCGGGCGGGGGCTGGCGCTGGAGGAAAGGGCCGGCAGCTTCGTCGCCGCAACTGCGCAAACTCCCCGTGCGCTGCGCGGGCGCCCGCCCATTCCCCTCTCCCCTGCGGTACCGATGGCAGCGAGTGACGCGGAAGCGGCCCAGCAACAAGTGAGCGGCGGTGGGAGTGAGAGGGGCTGCGGGGAGCGGTGCGTGTGCGCTCGGGGTGTCACGGTCCCGCCGGGCCGGGCCGGGCCGCGGCGCCCTCGGGCAGGCGGTGTGAGTGCCGCGTCGAGCGCGGTGACGTTCGGTGGCTCCCGGTGAAGCCCGGGCCTGTGAGGAGCCGCTTGCCCGCGGTGCTGTCCAAGTGCCAGCGGGATTGTCTTTGTTCAGGCGCCAGCGGAGGACTGCGCATCTGCGCTGAAGAACGGCTTCAGGTGTCTTAATTTCTAGGTGGGAGGTGGTTGTCCGCTTTTGACGGGATTTTGCTGGGTAAATTTATTCAGTCTCGGAAAGAACTAGTGCCAGTGCCTTTAGGTTTTTTGCTGCTGCGGGATAGCCCAGCCAGGAGTGGCACTGGTTGGGAGCTGCAGGGATGTGTTGTAGCTGCTCCATGTGGCTTTGATCACATTGTCGTTGCTGAGAATTCCAGGATTATCCATAGAAATGCACAAGCTGGTTTGTGTATGGGAGAACTGAGCAAAGTTTACTTATGCAATGAACTGGGGCTGCATCCCCAGTATTTGTGGCCTTCCAGTGTAGTCTGTCTTGTCACACCTGTAAATAAGCTGTAGAAGAGCAAGACTTAAAACTATGATTGGCACACGAGGATGTGGGCTTTTAGGGGGTTCATTTATTTTTGCATAATATTTTTGCTTTTTCTAGATTGATGAAATTGAAGCCCTTTCATCCATATATGGTGAAGATTGGTGTGTTGTTGATGAAGATGAAAAAATTTATTGCATTAAGATTAACGATTGTCTGGATCATCCAAAATGGACTCTCTGTCTGCAGGTATAGTGATGTTAAGGCATTTTGCATAGAATTTGCAGTTGGACTGATGCAGGCAAAATCTTGTGCCTCCATGAAACCATTCTAAATAGGATTCATTATCTACTTGAGTGGATTAATGAGCTTTTGGATTGGAATCTGTGATAGACTTTTCAGGGATTTTTCCTGTAGCACATCAACGTGCTTGTGATATTTTCAGTAGTTATATATTGTAATTCCATACCTGACAAAAACTAATTTCAATAGTTTTCTCCAAAGACTAATTTTTAAAATATTTTTTACATTGACTTTGTGCAGGACATCTCAGTGAATCTGCTGCAATTGGTTCTAGATTTACTTTCTGGAAAGAGTGGAGACAAAATGTATGCATCTCCTTTCAGATTTCTTCTGCACTTTATTTGAAATGGCACTTCATCCACAAAAAATTGCCACCATGAAGTGGAGTATTTGTATGCATTACCTTTATTGGATCCTAAATACAGATGTTCAGGTTTTCTTGTCATTCTGTAACAACATAGCCAACTATTTTCTTCATTTGTAACACTGATTGTAGTCCTAGTGCTCAATATCAGAGTCTATCAGTAAAGCTGAGATAGCTGACAGGAGTAGTCCAGTGAATACTTACCCTGAATTTCTTTCAGGTGATTTTGCCACCGGGATATCCAACTGCAGAGCCGCCTATTTATCAGCTGAAGTAAGTGAAGTTTCTTGCGGAGAGTTATTTTTTTTAGACATTTGTATTTCTTTTCTGATTTACCACTGTATGTTGTTCACAGTGTAGGTTGAAGTTTAGTTACGATGACTCCGTGAATTAAACTCTACACTATACGAGGCATGAGGGACGTTTGAAGCAAGAATATTCTATTCTTCCTCCTGAGTTAGCCTCATAGAGCTCCCTATGACAGTTTACTCTCTTCCCTCAAGGGTAATTCTTGCAGCATTATTTTGTGGCAAGGCAGCAACTAGACTGTGGAGGTATGGCGGCTGTTGCCTATTGTGTTGGACAGTGATGTCTCATTGCTTCCTTGAGTCTACCGCTCTTGTCTGGATCCTTGTTTCAGATTGTAAGGCATGTTTTTTCATCTGGGCGCTGACTCTTGTTGGGATGGAGCCATGGCACGTGCCATTTTCCTTCCCTGCTTTCCCCTTGTCTTCTGACATGTAAACCAGATAGAAACTAAGATCTACAAGCCAGGTCCCTGACTGAGATGACAGTGGGACCTGCAGGGAATTGCGCACAGCACATCTACTGGGTTTTGCTTAGCAGTACTGACAAGGCAATACAAAATAGTGCTGGTAAACTTGAGGCAAGTTTATAGTTTAAGAGACCAGGAGTATACGGATACAGAACTGAAGGGTAATTCTAAGTATAATAGGTAGTATGGCGCTGAAGGAGTTGGAAAGGTAAGCTAATAATACGTAAGGTGACTCTGGAGTGATAATGGCCTACCATGAAAAACGAGTCCAGATTTCTTACCAGAGGTAAGAAAAGGCAGCCCAAGTTAGGAGTCTTGAAGGAAAACCAGGCGATCATGCTTTTACCAGGATGTTTACAACTAGAATCTTGTTAAGTAGGAATGACTGATGATATTTTATTTCCAAGGTGTTTATCACATTTATTTTAAAATGAATGTCTGTTGAGATGTTGGAGTCAGCATATGGGCACTAATTTTCATTGTATTTCTTTTCATTCTAGTGCCCCTTGGCTTCGAGGACAAGATTATGTGGAACTAGCAAATAGCTTGGAAGAAATATATGTGTAAGTTAGAGACTTTAGAATATAGTAAAAGGAGACAGTGTATTTTCAGTTTCATGCCATGCTCAATATATGCTTTAAGAACCTGCATGAACCAGTAGTTGTGACGTGATTGCTGCAGTAGCCATAAACCAGCAAGTTTCTTTTGTAAAAGTAACACTTAAAGATGCCGCGTATGTACGAAGCATTTTGCCAGAACGAATTGTGTTTAAGTCTGACAAATTTCTCTGATATTGTTTAGACTTGATATTCTATAAGGATAGAATTCTTCGTTTTGACTCCTAATGTGTCACCCTTTAGAATCTATGAGATTGCTTATGAATTGGTGCTATGAAGTATGAGATTTCTGCGTCTGTTATGCATTTGAATGTTAAATCACAGGATGTGAAAACGTTTGTTCTTGTCTTGGAGCATAATTGGCAAAACAGTTTTTCTTAAAAGATAGCTAAGGGATAAGTAGGTTTTAAAACAAATTAAACACATGTAGAATCTATTAACCAGAATCTAACACAGTGAACTGTTTATTATCACAGTGTGCAGCTAACTGCAACTCATAATGAATGCATGAGAATAAACAAAACATTCAGAAATCCTCAAATTACATGTTTTTGAATTACTGTGAAATTGGGGTAGTAAACGTAGTAATTTTATGTGGTTTATTTAAGTCTTTCAGATCCCAAAGATAATATAAACTAAATGAAATGAAAATATGTCATGGGGAAGCACAGTCACGCCCAAAGTACTGAAATCTGACATCTTGCATAAGGAATGTTTTTTAATGCCATAAAATGAGGGAGAGAGCTCTTAGCTTGCCTGAGGGTAGTTTGTCTAATTCCTCAGTTACTTTGATTAACTAGGTTTCTTATCTAATTAAGCAACAGATAATTTAAGCAAGCAAAATTAAATTCAAAGTGTTAAAAATGCACAAGGATTTTAAGTGAAAACTTCTGTGGGATTGTATTAACCACAGTTATTCAGTGGTTAGAGAATGTCCAAATTCACAGGCTTTTCTGGAGTCTCTACCAGAGGTGGAGCTGCTGTAGGTGGTTCCTTAACTATCCTGAGCATTTGGAGGAATAGCATGGTTGTGAAGCACTTTTTTTAATTATTTTTTTTCTCCCCTTTCTTTTCTTTCCCCCTGCAATCTTGTAGGTTGTTAAATTGTGCTAGTTAGATTAGTCCCTTTCAGCTCTGTTCTGTCTGTATCAATTGCTGTTCAGAGTCCTCGCTGGTCTGTCTGTTTTGTTTGCTCAGCAG